ATTAGAATTTCAAATTAGTACGTTGTTTATTAGTTATCTCTGTTTATCTTAGTTGTTTCTGTTAGTTGAATCGTTCACTTAGTCGTTTAGTTAATTTTACTCGGTGTTCGATAGTTTACCAATGTTCATTTAAGTTTTGTTTTGGGAAGTGTTTCCTTATTCTAATCGCCCATTGTTAGTTCTCATTAATCGATTAGTTTTAGTTTAGTTTGTTCGGGTACTTAGTTCAATTGCAATTGAAGTCATGCCCTAGCTTTGCCTATTCATAGTTGGTTTGAGTATGAGTGTGTTATGATAAAAGCTGAATATTTGAGTGTAGGGTACTTGTTTGGCTGCTTTTTACTGTTTAAAGACTGTTTGAAGTACAAAACTCCAAAAATCTGCCTCTGTTTAGTAGAATACTATCTCTTGGACAGATTTTTTGCCAAAGAGCTGTCCTTTGAATAGTGTTAGACAGATTTTCATAATGAAATCATGTTCCTCCTCTCCCATAAAGAGAGGGTCTTTCTTTCACTTTAGGGGGGAGTTGAACACTCTAACACACTTAGAGCACACATCTTTTTACACTCTAGAAAACACACAACATCAGAAAGAGAGCAGCGAGAACCCCCAAGAAACACTTCTGGCAGCCTCTCTTTATTTAAGAATTTTCTATGAAGTTTCTAAGTTCTTTCTTAGTTTAAAAGGCTTACTTTCTTGGGGTTCGGAGTTTGTTCTTTCTGAGTTATCTCACTGGTATCCCTCTGCTGTTTGGATGCTGTTATTGGCTGCATTATCGTTGTGATTAGTAGCTTGTGGAAAGTAGAGATCATTACTGCGAGTTATGTGATTTTCCTGCCATCTAGGTATCTCTCTCAACTTGTAATATTGGTTTTTTTTTTTTTTTTTTATGAATGAATGCTGAAATTTAGCCCCCACCTAATTGCCTTTAGTTACTTCACATGTATATTTGGTTTGTTGTACTTCTTTGACTTGGGACTACGCTACTAGTATTTAGTTTCGTGTATGTTTACATGGTAATTATATATAGTAGTTTCAAATTTTGTTTAAGTCTCAAGTACAATAAGAATAGTGTTTCCATGTTGTTTAGTACTAAAAGTGTTAGCGGAAGTTTTCATGTTTTGGTTCAAAACGTAAATTTCAGCAGTAGTTGCCTAACATGATTTTCTTGAGGTCCTTTCCATGTTAGCCAGTCAATAGGCCGGTTTGATGATTTCAAATAAACCAACAGTAAGTTAAAACTTGTTTAGTAGAGTGCGAGGTGGCTATCGAGTTCAGGCTTTGAATATATAAAAGTTTCAGAGGCGGAGGTGGAGAGGTCATTTACATTTTCATTCAGTTCTCATCAATGAAGTCATTGAGTAATTGTCTGAATTTCGTGGACTAGTACTATGTTGCATTAGTTGAGTTCTTTAAAGTTGAGCTCTTTAAAATAAGTATTTTTTACATGGCATATATCCAAGTTAAAGTTTCAGTATCAAGTAAGTCTTGGTGAATTCTTTTGGTTTAGTTTTATTTCGCTACTAATTTTAATGTCACATAATGCTTTAGTTTTAGATCACATGTCTTTAGCTCTAAGATTTGTATCTATTTGACTCGATGCTGACGGACTAAAATTTGAAAGTTTGAGACATGTAATTCTAGTGTAAAATTGTTAAAAGAAAGGGGTACAAGGAAAATGATTCCTACGATTTTGGTTCATGATTTGAAATGGTTGAAGTGTTTCTGAGTTGTTTCCTACCGCTGTTGGGTAAAGTTAGTATGCTTGTCATTATTTATTTTTTATTATATTTTCGTTATGCTAAAATAACCTTGTTGATAGATGGGCTGAGTTTGTATCTTCTTTTTATTTTGATCATTGTTCATTTCCCTCTTTTTCTTTTTTGTGTGAAAATTCTGTTGAGCCATTTAACCACTCGCTTAAATTGGATTCGTGCATACTTTATTTGTATGGTGTCGTTCGATTAAATTTTGGATTTTGCTAATTGATCAATAGGTACCATTATTTATTAAAATTTAATTGGACCTAAGTAGTAGAGCCGACTCATTCTTACAATGCAATAGTCATAACCCAATGCCATAAAATCTAACAAGCACAACATGGCATTATCTATAAATAAAAATAAAGTTGTCCCCTTCTTCCCCCTTGAATAAAAGTCGATTTTTTCCTTTAAATAATTAAAATCACCTTTAATAATTAATTAGAGTAGGTGGTCAATGCCTGAAAAAGCTTATAAGCAAAAACTGACCAAAGCTTTCAAATGGTTCTACCAACTCCAATTACAATAAGATTTTCTTAATAATTAAAAATAATTTAATAATTTAATCGCTTTCTTCATAATTATTTTAAACGTTAGGCAATTAGTAGGCGCACTTTAACCTTTTTAATTCACGGACTCGTTTGCGTAGCGTGATGTTTAACACTTAATAAATTAATTCAATAATCTCATGCCATGCACATTTAGTTTTAGTTAATTTTTAATTTAATCGATCCTTTGCTGAAATTGCGGATTCGCTTGTGTGGGCTGATAGTTAACTCTTTTTTTTAATAATCTTCAAGAATTAATTTTCTCAAATATAGTAATTTCTCAAAAGTACTACAAATAGTTGATTGTCATAATTTTGAATTCGCTTCCGAGGCGAAATTATGATAAGTTAATTAATTTTGTTGTTCGATCACGCATTCACTTGGTGTAGCGTGGTTATGACGACGTAATTTATTCAAAATTCATTTTTTTAATTTTAATAATCAAGAAATAAAAGCGGACAGGTAAAACATGAAAATCATATAAATCACAGTTTGTCCAAAATTAATTCTAGCCAAGTTTTAAGTCAATAAAGCAACCGTGCTAGAACCACGGGACTCGGGGAATGCCTTGCACCTTCTCCGCGGTCAACAGAATTCCTTACTCGGACTTTGTTTTCGCAGACCAATAATAAAAGAGCCAAATTTTCCTTTGAATAAGGGATTCAAATAAAAGGTGACTTGGAACACCCAAAAATCAATTCCAAGTGACGACTCTAAACAATAAAATAATCCTTATTTCAAAATTGTCACTTTAATTGGAAAAACTCTTTAACCCACAACAAATCCATGCACATATTTTTTTTGGGGGTAGAAAAGGGGTGTGACACCAAGGGCTAGGCAGAATACTGAGGATTTTCCTCACTAGCTTGTTCCTAGGAATGGTTTCACCAAGTGAGTGTAACTCATTTATGATGGAAGTGAATCTTGTGTGCATATCTTGAATAGCTTCATCGTCCTTCATCCTAAAGAGTTCATACTCAGTAGTGAGCATATCGATCTTAGATTGTTTTACTTGGGTGGTTCCCTCATGAGCTGTTAGCAAAGCTTCCCATATCTCCTTAGCAGTGTCACAAGCGGAGATTCTATTGTATTCTTCAGGTCCTATTCCACATACCAAAATCTTCTTGGCATGAAAATTCTTCTCCACCGCTTTCCTGTCTGCGCCGGTGTATTCTTTAATGGTTTTTGGCACTGAGAATGGAAATTCTTCCAGTACCTTTGTTGGAACATAAGGACCGTCACAAATGACATCCCATAACTCAGAATCCTCAGCCATGATAAAATCATGCATTCTTGTCTTCTACCGCCCATAGTATTGTCCATTGAACCTGGGTGGTCCGTATGTAGATTGACCTTCTTCAAAATTTAGTGAAGCAGCCATAAGGATTCTTCCTAGGTGTTAGCCTGATATGAGGAACCTGCTCTGATACCAATTGTTAGTTTGTATGAGTCCACCAAATAGTAGAGTACCTGGTCCTCTATGAGGTTGTGCTGATAATGCTGATAAAATAGTAAGTAAATAAGACCCGGGATTTTTACGTGGAAAAATCCCAACTCAAGGGGACAAAAACCACGACCTACACCTGTAGGCTTTCAACTTCACTAACTTGTAAACACTTATTACAAGCCTCTTTGTAATGACTCCATTACAAAGAATTCAACTCAACTAACTTATGATACTCTTACCACAAGCCACTTTGTGACTCTCTAGTTACAATGACTTTAACTTATGACTAAACCTAGTCACAACATAAACTCAGAGAGTTTACGAATTTTACAAGAGGGTTCCTAATTCAACGCTTCTGGCTAAGCTATTTAGGAGATACAATAAGAACAATCACAAAGTTACAACTCAACTAAGGACAACAAATACTAACTTTAAGAATTGGTATGTAGTAGTGTTTAACTTTATTCTTCAAGCTCGTGAGAATTAATTTCACAGTTTTGCAAAAGGCTTGAATGAATATCACAAGTGTTCAAGTGATGTTTTGATATAAACTCCTTGTTGATACACCTTGATGACATCATTTGAATGATGTAAGCACTTTAGTTGGTCAAAAGATAAGTGGCCACCGGAAACAGTGCAGTGAAGACAGTCACGTCGCTTCCAGCTGTGTCCAATTGACTTCACACTACTATGAGGGAACCACAAAGGTATCAAGTCCTTGTGTGGTTCTCTATCTCTTGAAGCTATAGCAGTTCACATTTAGCTGGAATCCGTTAACTTGCAGTGTAGCCCAAGTGTGTCTGGTTTCCTATCTGGTCCTTGACAGCTGTAGACATGTAATTTTTGACCCTCTCCAAGATTTTTCATATTTTAGCACGTAAATATTTAATTTATGCCTAATATAGCTATTTCAGCTAATTTTTACTCAGTTACTCTATTTTATTACAAGAAAAATGAAATTTACAAAAATTGTTCCATTAATGTTTTGTAGTCATTTTTTATCTTAAAAAAAATACCAAAAAAATAGTTTTGTTTTAACGATCAGTCTTATTTTAACAGTTATTTTACTTAAGTAGGACTAATTAATAAATAAAATTGTATTTTAGTCTCGTTCGCAGGAAATGAATAAATTTGGGTTCAAGCGATTTATTTTTAAGTGTAATTTTCGGACCTAGCCCATACCCCATCTTTAACTCTAGACCCCTTTCCATAAATACACACATTTTTAGACCCCTAGACGGACTAATAAAAATCCGCCGCTTTCAGCAAAAAGAGACCCCCTCCATGATTTCTTCATCTCCTTCTTTACTCCAGCTGCAAGAACACCAAAGGGCCCTCTTCCTCTTCCTCCAAATCCCACCATTTACAGCTAAAAAAGGCAGCAAGATAGCCATGAAAACCAAGCTGAAAACCAACTAAAGCCCACCCCAAATAAGCCCCCAAATTCAACCCAATAAGAGTCCACAAAATAAAAGCCGAACAGATATGAAAATCTGTTCAGAACCCGCCTAAAATTAACTTTAAAGCCCCAGAAACAACTGCCAAATCACCATTCTTTAGCTTCGTCAAAGCTCCGGTCTCGTTCGATTTGTCGAGGTCTCGTTCGCTGGCCCTTGTTTGAGTTCGAACGGCAGAAAACGAAACAAAAAAAAAAAGAAGAAACAAAACAGAGTGTGTAAAATACCAGAAAATCGAATGAAAAAATAAGTTTCATTCATCTTCTTCCTGATTTCTATTTCAGTTTTATCATGGAATTTGTTTGAGTTTTTGCTGTTTCGAGCTCGACTAAAAACCACCCTCCGCTCGAGGTCTCGTCTGAGGTTGAGTCTATTTTTGGAGCTCGTTTGTGAGATCTGTTCGGAGGCAAGTATTGAAGTTTCGAGTTCGACGAGCTTTCCGTTAGCAGATCTGAGGTCGTTGTTGAGGTTCCGGCAAGTCGTTTGTTTTCCTGTTCAAGGTTCTCATTTGCTTGATGATCTGAGAATTGTTGCGATTGTAAAAGTCGATCTTCTTTCAGATTATATGTAAGTGTTCGAATTCGTAATCCGTTTGTTGTGGTTGGAATTGCTTTACATGTTTTTATTAGCTATTCCATTACTACTTCTTGTTCGGTTTTGTTTTGCGAGCTCTTTCATGAGATTTGCATATCTTTGGTTCCCTGTTACTCTTGATTTGTGAGCAAGGTTGCTTACTTGGTCCTTTACTCGGTTAGTCTGCATTTGCCGGATATAACTTCTATTTCTGAAGAGTCCATATTGTTTTGGCAGGGAATCATATTGTGATATATTATACGACTTCATATGTGGCTTGCTTCTTTCACCATTCGTCAATTGTTTTAGAACATCAAGGAGATTGGCTTGTGCTTTCTATGCAGGAATGTGTTTCTAGTGCTACGTTTAGTGTGAACGTATTGTGTACCTATATTGTCGTTATTTAGTGAGGGAAATGGTGTTTTGTAAAGAAGGTGGCCATCATATTGTAGTATGCTTGGTGTTAATGAAAAGAAAAAGTTTTAGCAAATCCAAGAAGCCTTGTCAGTGTTGTCGGGTTAGAAGAAAAGAATATATTATCGCGATGATGAACACGCGTTCGCGTGACATAATTATGATTCTATAAATCGAGGTGCGTCATCCAATCACATAGCCGTGGCCTTCAAAAGCTTAGTTTTTTAATTCCCTTTAAAATGGGAATTGAGGTGTCTCGTGCCAAATAAAATCTCAAAATGCACGGCCCTCATTTAATTGATCTTTAATATTGTATCCTTAAAAATCGAGGCGCGTCATTTAGTTGAATTTTCCATGGCCCTCGCAAAGTTGAAATTGCGTAGTTGCTTTGGGCGCGCTATTTAAAAATTACCTTCCTAAACTCGGGTGTGCATTTCATGTGACCCAAATCCAAATCTTAACAACGTTAAATAAAATATGTCTCGGACTGCAGGTGCATTTCATGTGGCGTGGTCCAAAGACGTTTACTATACCAGCCATCTTTTTCGTATTTCGTATTCTGTATTTCATATATCTTGTATTGCTGTTATTTTATTATGCAGGGCTCCTGTTGCTTTTGAGCCGAGGGTCTCCTGGAAACAGCCTCTCTACCCTTCGGGGTAGGGGTAAGGTCTGCGTACATATTACCCTCCCCAGACCCCATTTGTGGGATTATACTGGGTCGTTGTTGTTGTTGTTGTTGTTGGTCCAAAGACGTATTTTAGATGACGTTGAAATCTTCCTTAAAATAATTAAAAGCGGTTTTAAAGTTAAAAAATGCACATAGGTTTAAAAGTGTTTTAAAATTAGATAATTAAGCCAATAATAACAGTTGAGCGACCGTGCTAGAACCACGAAACTCGGGATTGCCTAACACCTTCTCCCGGGTTAACATAATTTCTTACCCGGATTTCTATGTTCGCGGACTGTAATACAGAGTCAATCTTTTTATCGATTCGGGATTTGAACCGGTGACTTGGGATACCATAAATTATCCCAAGTGGCGACTCTGAATTTTTAATAAAATGATCTCGTTTCGATTGTCACTTTAAGTTGGAAAAAAACTCCCTCTTATACTCCCTTCGGGGTAGAAAAAGGAGGTGTGACAACAGTAGGTTTGTTAGATCATCAAAACATAAGGCGAAGACATTGAAAACCTATCACAGAGTTAGTTATGTTATGAACGCACTTAAGATTTCGGAGTATTATCCATGCAGTATATGTTGGCAATCATACAGCCGTAGAAGATTTCGGTACAAGTTAAAAGAAAGAATTAAGATACAGATCGGGAGATAGCTTAAGCCTACATAAAGGTTTATCAGAAGAAGGAGGAAACTAGTGAGTTACATCAATGAAGTAAATCAGAAATCTGATTATTAGACCTAGAAAATTATAGACCTCGTGATTGAGAACACTGCAGGATTACTCTTAGATATCAGAGGTATAAGAGAGATAGTACAATACAGTAGCCATATTCTGTAATGGCTCTACGATAAAGCTAGTTAGAAGAAGTACCAGCCTCATAAAAAGTCGGTATGAAGCTCCCACCGGATTGTATATGCACCAGAGGTGCAGTTATTATAATAGAGCTTTAAATTGTTGATATGAATTATACCTATGTGGAAGAAAGGTTATGAAAAAGACAGAAGAATGTGAGGCAATATATTAAGATAAGTAAGGTAAAGGTGGACAACGAGATACTCAAATGCAGAAGGTTGTGAATAGTCCTTATTTCGGATAGAAGGCTAGAGGTGAGGGGATTTAATATCCAAGAATGATACCGGCGTCGTAAGTGACATATCTTCCAGCCTATGGTTTCTAGGTACCGAGAGGTCTAGTTAAGAGAGTAAAGAAGAGTTAGAGATGATGTGTTGTCTCGCTTGATGTTCCAAAATCACATAAGGGAATCTGTGGTGCAAGCAAGTTGAAGGAAGGTTGCGAGTAGTACAATTGAATATGTGTAGGTTCCAAGCTAAAGTATGGTAAAGAGACAGTTTTAGGAAGATAGGAGTAAGGATAAGAAAGGGCAAGTAAGAGGCAATGAGAATGGATAAAGTCCTTAGGATTAAGCCCATAAAAACAAGAGAGTTGATGGTTTCTCTAAATTATACAAAGCTTAGTATAGGCTGAATGAACTCAAACGAGTCTAAGACTAATGGCATTTAGAAGAGATGTAATGCTGCCCGGATAGTACAATAAGGGTGTAATTGTGATAGATAAATGATGACGTTTGGGCCTTCGATTGAGTAATAATTTGAAGGGAATTTCATGAAATGTATGGGATTAAAATACCCACAAAAGTGAATCACATTGGGATGCTATAAAATAAGGTTATTGAAGTACAGTATCGCCGCTAAGTGGATCAGGAAAAAAACTTCAAATATTTCTCGATGCACGTAAGCCGTAGTGGTAAGGCATTAGGTAAGAAGTTTCAAGTTATCAATGGTATATTATAGATCAATATTGAGGTGAATCAACAATGGATGGACAAAAGCCACAAGATATGAAATGAGATAAGGCTATCATTCTTAAGATGAAAAATAATGAGGAAGCGTTAAAATACTTAGCTTTATGCATATAGGATAAGCAACAAGAGTAACCTAGAATTTGGTAGCATACCTCAGTAAAAATAAATCGAAGTAAGCATTATGGTATAGTATGGCCTACTTAGATGAAGTAAAGATAATGACGCCCAAAGGGACAACTTGGCATAATTTTATATATGTTCACAAAGTGAAGCCTAGAGATTGGCTGAAAACTAGAGGAAAAAGGAGAGAAGAGTCGCATAGACGCACATACAAGGAAAAAGTCGTACAAGCTATACGACAGAAGGTAGGAAGAGTTACGAGATTAGAAGAATTCCGACCACGGTCTGTGGTGTGAGAAAGAGTCCTAAAGGGGGAAATGCCATGACCTTTGGATTTATTCAAAGAATAGTTACCTAAATGTGAAGAAGAGTATTAAATTATTCGCAAGAGCTATGGGTTATGAGAATGATAAGTGTATCAGTCAACATTCGAGGACAAATGTTCCAAAGGGGGGAATGATGTTACACCCCAGGTTTTCGTATGTAAAAGTACGCCATAAGTAAATTGATGAAAGCTCGGAAATAAGACATTACATCCAACATTTTTCGTACGTTAAAGTTTCGCGTAAGTTAATCGACATAAGTTCGGGAATGAGATTATTTTAAGATTATAAACATTATGCTAATTGAAATAAGTGATGAGTAAATTCGTGAAGGTGAGAGGGTAAGCAAATCGAAGAAAATAATTTTCGTCAAAGTTTGACATTTTGGGATAAAATACGGCGCGAGCTAAAATAACTGGTATTTATGGACTAATACCATACAATGTACCACATGTCTATGATAGTAAGGTGTATAAGGTGTATTAAAAGTGAGTAATATTTTAAGTAAGTTGAGATCATTCTTAATTATGTAGGTAATTGATTAATTATTGAGTAATGGAATATTATCTAAATAATTGGATAAAGGTTAAAATTCCCCAACGTGGCAGACCACCCTTCAAACTAATGACTCTTAGCTCAAATTGAAAGGTGGCAAATTAAGGTTATGTGGCTAAGTCACCACATGAAGTGGGCCCACACCTATTCAAACACATTTCCTTTCTGAGAAGTACCATTCATTTTCTATTGTTTCAAACACAAAAGCCTAGGCGTATTATGAACTTTCCCTTATGACTACATCTTTTCTAGATAATGGTCATTGTTATGGTCATTCCCTTAATTGTGAGAACATTATCAATTGATTTGCTGTCCACAAATTATGCCGACGGGTGCAAGATTTTCAAGTGATCCAAATATAGTGCTCTTTCCATTACAAAGATACATTAGAATATATCAAAAGAACATATAACATCTTCCTACTACAATACCAAATTACACGCGATGGAGCACTTGGTAGGCATCTGGTTTGTGTTATTGTTGGGATTGAATTTGGTCGTTCCCTATTCCGATCTCGTTATTACGTGTTTCGTCACGATTGGCGTGTGTTAAAAGGATTGTCAAGAGAATTGGTTCAGGTATGTTAAGACTATTCTTTCTTTCTTTTGGCATGATCTATATGACACAAACGAAACGAGAAAATGCACAACTTCCATAAATGACTCTATTCATAGAAGTATTAGAGGTGCCTATGTTATTGAATTTTCATGTGTCATATTAATTCTATCATCAGTTCATGGGTCTCAGAAAAATACGTAAGTTGAAAAAAAAAGCTTACTTCATGATATTATTCGAAGGCATAGTGGTCTTATGACATTCCAAGAGATTTTATTGACGTACTTCTCATGCATTGCATTCATGTACATTGATCGATGACAAGATGACATTATATACGCATATGTATATATATATATATGGAATATGGGAAAAGGTTATGGCGTTATATATGCATCCTCACCTGATCAACTGATATACGTTGATGATTTGTCCACGGTGGCCGAGATGATATGATAGGATTCCCTCAGAGGCTTGATGATGTTATGAACGCATATACACATGCATGGTATGACATTTATATGCATATGCACGACATTATAATATTAGATGATTCATAGAGTTATTCAAATATACATGTTGAGTCTTTTACTCCATGTTTCTCTCATGTCTACTAGTTACTGATTTTCATTCCTTACATACTCGGTACATTATTTGTACCGACGTCCCTTTTGCCTGGGGACACTGCGTTTCATGCCTGTAGGTCCTGATAGACAAGTCGAGAGTCCTCCAAGTAGGCTATCGGCGCAGTGGAAGGTGTTGGTGCGCTCCATTTGCTCCGGAGTTGCTTCTTTGGTCATTATGATTAGTACATGTATTGATTGGTACGTCGGGACCCTGTCCCGGCCTTTATGATATTATGTATTCTTAGAGGCTTGTAGATAGATGTCATGTATACGGATACTCGTATGGCCTTATCAGCCTATGTTTCGAGTATATAAAGAATCATGCCGGCCTTATAGGCCCGTACTTCATATGTATAGGTTTGTATTCCCTCATACTTTACTCCGGTTCATT